GGGGGGGAGATAGAGAAGGGCGGAGGGAAAAGCTTGCATCGCTGGTTCGTTGTTAGTGAAGAAGAAGAAGAAGAATGAGGGGCATAATGAGAATGGGCATTTTTGTTCTTTAACGTGGTCTGAAAAATGTCTGAGCGCATTAAATCACTGACTCGCCTCTTACAAATTCAAATTTGAAAATGCATTTCAGATCTTTTTTCAAACTCAATCCAAACATAGACCACATCTAAAAAATAACATTTTCAAACTTTAAAAGTCTGAAAAGTGTTATCAAACGCCACCTAAGCCAGGCATTACACCTCTGAGTCGTTTACTAAGGTAGCATTTGATATTAGTGGCATAAAGTCACTGGCACTGTGAATGTGTCACGGATGCCGGTAAAGGGGTGGAATCAGAAATTTTTTATGAAAGGGCCAAAACCTAAAGTGGATTGGGGGAGTAGAGGGAAATAAATATTGATGGGCCATAAAGGAATCAACCATTAGGGTGGGGAATAGAGGAAAAGGGAAAATTTACATTAAAGAGTGTATTACAATTTACAAATAAGATTTTCTGGACTATAGGGGGCCATGGCTCTTTAGGTCCCCCGTAGATCCACACCTGCGCCTTAAACCCTCAAATTTTTTTAGTGATTTAATCAATCCTTACCATAATCTTCTCCATTGTACAGAAGGTGTCAACCACCGACATTGGTCGGTCTGTTTCTCCAGCAAAGATGAGTCATCATTTTCTTGTGCAGAGGGATTGGCCTCATTCATTCGATTGAAATAATCAGTTGAATAGTATATACTGCTGTTACATTGAATAATCGGCAGTACCGAAAGCACAAACGCCTCACTTGCAACCAAACAAAAAACCACCTCAAACATTGCCCCGCCCGGTCCGGATTTCCTACCAACTTCCCTCTACTCCCCTCTCTACTAACCCATTAAAATTATTCCAGCTGTCACCAAGTCCTATCTAATGTAACGATTGACTAATGCCTTAATTAATTCCTCCGTTAGATACTATTTTAAAGAAATACTTATTTTTATGCATTAATTAAATATTTTTAAAAATAAAAATATAATAATTGTGGGTGGTCTGTAACTAGGGGTGCCGAACCATGGGCCTTTTTTGTGAACCGAACTGGTAATACCAGTTTTTAGGAAACTGGAACCGAACCAAAACCAATCGGTTAATCGGTTGACCAGTTTGGTTAACCAGTTGACTGGTTTGGTTCATCGGTTTTTCAGTTTTCTTGACTTTATAATATTTATTATAAAAATATATAAATATATATTTATATATATAATGCGTATTTATCAATTTATAATATGTAAAATATATATAATTTTATAATATGTAAAATATATATATAGAAAAACATGTATATCGGTCGGTTCGATTAACTGCCGATTTTTTAAATTGGTTAACCAAAACCAAACCAGTACCTTCGGTTTTTTAAAAACACCGAACTAACTGGTTCAATTAACCAATTTTTTGGTTCAGTTTTGGTCGTTTTTTTGGTCGATTCAGTTTTTTGCTCACCCCTATCTATAACTCTTTTTCCATGCATGAATTTGCTTTACTAGGCTTAGAAAAGAAATAAAAATAAAAATATCTATTTTAATTATATGCAAATTTCCCATTCTCTCTTTAATTATATGCAAATTAATTCTCTAAGCCTAGTACAGCAAATTCATGCATCGAAAAAAGAGTTAAAAACCACCCAAAATTATTATATTTTTATTTTTAGAAATATTTAATCATTGCATAAAAATATAGGTATTTCTTTAAAATAGTATCTAACGGAGGAATTAATTAAGGCATTAGACTTAGTGACAGCTGGAATAATTTTAATGGGTTAGTAGAGAGGGGAGTAGATGGAAGTTTGTAAGAAATCCGGAGAAGAGAGTTCGGCTTCAGTACTCACAATACCATGTTCATATAGTTTGCATAGTTTTTTATAGCTGTGCATTGAGAATATCTCTGTACTTATAAAGAAATATTTCCAAACTGCAAGGCACTGAAAACTGTATGGGCACGGTCTTGTGAGACCAAATCCAATTTCTTTTGTGAAATTAAAACCTTTAATTTGATGTATTGCTATAGCCCCATCTTGAATTAGATCAAGTGACATCATGGTGGGCCCATAGTAATGCATTTAACATGGCTCTATGTCCAACTTCTTCTTGATTTTTATGTTTAAACCCTAAATCTTTAAATTTAACCCCAATCGTGGCATGGGGAAATTTCAAATCAAGTTCATTACTTGAACCAATAATTTTTTCTGCGGTGGACCAATGGTCTGGTGGATAAATTCTTCAAAAGATTAACATGTAAAATGCCTTTGAATTTTGATTGGACATCTAATCAGGTACGATTCAAACATTTTCCTCTTGATTCATGTTAAAATCATTTAAACTCAATTTGGAAGGAATATGTAGAGTGTAAAACTTTATATTTGGTATTATTTATATTTCTTCTAAACTGAGCCTTGGAAGTCATCTCTCATGAAAAAAAAGCCCAGAACAAAACTTAAATATCTATTATATTCAAAACGCCACATAGGCAATTTTTTAGCATTGTGTTTGATTTGAAAGAAAAAGATAGAGAACCACCCAATACAAGGTCTACCTTTTCTTTCAAACCAAACACATCCTAAAAGAATGAATACACATAGATAGAATAGTTTATTAGATTAAGTTCATTCAAATAGCCCATTTGAATATACATAGAATAAAAAATTCAAGTCAAAACATACACCTCACCGATCTTCACTAGGATTGTGGCACATATACTTCCTCATTTTCTTCATTAAAATTATTGGCATCAAGTCATGCCGGAGGGAAAAAACGGTTGAGGTTGAAAGGGAGGGTGTAGAACTCCTCATTCCGACTGTCTCCCCTGAAAGTTCTGAATTTGGCCCACCATGGCATCCCTCTGTCTTTAGCAGTATCCTTGTAGTCAAGAGTGTTATCAAGGAAAACCGCAACAATCAGTGCAACAGTGGGGGAGGAGGAGAATATGGTGTTGATGAAGTCATTGAACTGCAAAACAGAAAACCAAATCCAGTGCATGAATTAGAATAGTAGAAACATATTTGAAAACTAACACTGCACACACACACAGAAGAGAGAGAGAGAGAGAGAGACGCACCCATCCAGCATTGGTGTGAGCAGGTCCATGATGGGAACTGAGAGTGTACTCACGGAAGTACTCAGGAACAGACAGTCCTAGGAATAAGGCAACACCAGTGATAAAGAGGTTCCGCATAGAGTTCATGTTTGTGAACTGCAAAAATGACAGTCCCACCGATGCTGACAATAGAAGAACACCCCAGTCATGAACAGAGAGAGAGATAGAAGATTCCACAATACCAAAATCCACAGAAAAGGATACAAACCAACAAGTCCAAATAAGACACAATAGACAGCGGCAAAGATGGTGAAAGGTATTGATGCAAACAGTGCTCCAAATTTCCCTGTTCGCAGCAGGAGATTAGATTTAAGTAAATTTAGGATTAAGGTCTCAAGTCAGCTAAAGTAACTTTCTATCACTAACCTAAGATTGAGAAGAATATCATGAACCCAGCTGAGATTTGAATAACCCTGCGGCTCCCAACTCGAGTAGCTCCAAGAAGACCCACATTTTCTCTATTTGACCAATAATTTGATTAATGCCTAGCACAAGTTGGAACTAAGAAGACTGTTCATCAATGAGATGTAGTATCTACTTACACAGACACAGTGGATCCAGTTCCTGTTCCAAAGAGTCCATCCAGTAGAACCCCAACTCCCTGTAATAAAAAGTTCTAGTAAAATTATCTACATGTGGAAGAAATGAAGTTTTTTTTTTTTTTTGCATGTAAGGTCCTATATATCCTAAAGAATCCATCAACTACACACCTGCCAACCAATACCACGGCTAAGAACATGAGCTGGGGGAGGTGTGGCACTTGCCAGCCTAGATGCTGCTTTGTATGCTCCAGTTGACTGCCAAATCACATATTATAGTTAATATCATTTAACCCTTATCTCTGTGTATTCATTCCATCTCTATCTTGTAAATATGCAGCAGGTAGTACCTCAATCAAGGAGACTAGAACAGCAGCCATCATTCCAAAAGCATGACTAGCATCAAAGGTGGGAGCACCCCATTGCAGTGGATATGGGATTTTTATCCTGCATTACAAGAAATGAACTGGTGAAGTCATGTTGCTGCACTAACCAAGGAATGCATAGCTACAACAAGCTCTGGTCTTAGCTATTGCATTTCTGTGGGCCAATAATCCCAAATGATTTTCCATGTCCTTCTGGCCCAGAAGTTCTGGGAGAATATTCCCACATTTATATGAATGCTTTCACAGGACAGGAAACTATGGAGGCAGGCAATTAGAAATCATGCCAACTGCATTTTAGGATCTAGCTGTGGATAGCATCCACTTTTGAGACTAGTAAATAAAATAAACCCAGAATGGGGCAAGTATGTTTCTCTATTACAACATTTTCCTTCTTATATGGTTTAATGTAAAAGAAACTCCGTCATTTTTGCATATTAAGGTTTTGTACATGGGGAGCTGATCACAGATGTTTCCCCATGACCCTCTGCAATTTTGCTTGGTCATAGCAAAAATCCCATACTTTGTGTATGGGGACCTACACATAACTTTTGGGTCATCTTGCAAAGCTCAGTAGCTACCTCTATTACCCACACAAGATGCAACTGATGAGAAGACAATGTCAATGATCTAATTGTTAGGAGGATGAAAGCATTTAACTCTGTATGTGCAGAAATAAGCCTAATAATTCCTATTTGATAGCATGACTAAATAAATAAACAGATAACAGATTATTGTGGTACCAACCAGGGTGCAGATGAAATGAGGTTGGCCTTGTCGGTTCGGCAGCTGACTTGTGTGATAATTGGGCGATGCCTATATGCACCACTTGCTGTCAAAATGTGTGCATACACCCATATCATAGTGATTGAAATTATTAGTGCGAAGCGCTCGAATATTGGTACATGTTTTGCCTGGAAATTTTTTAGATACTGTGTACAAGTACAACAATAAAAGAGAGTGAGAGGTCACATTTTTACTCCATTAATCATAATGTTTTGTTTGCAACTTAACTGAGACATTATTTCCAGAAAAAAATGCAATAACCTGACTCTTTGGATGAGTCAAATGCCCATTACTTAAAGCAGTAGGGATCCATATGGTAGGCGAACTGTTCGACAAATCTTGGCCAACAAGAAATACCATGAAAATGTTAGGCAAAGTAAATGTAGGATACTTGACCACTGAAAGGTGATAATCCAATTCAAACTGATATTGTATCAAGTCTGTGCACCCTACAAAATCACTTCAAGAAAATGGAAGTGTTTACTTCCAGTTTTATGCTCTTCTCAATGGACATGGGTCCATGTCCCCATGGCTCACTAATGTATTGTTCTGGGTTGTTTTAATCAATTTGATCTTTGGTGCTTCAAAAATAATACTAGTTACACATCTTTTCAAGTCCATAAAGTTTAACTACCTGACTGGACAGATGAGAAGAATACAAGTCTATGGAAGATCTGTATCAAATCCAACGCAAAAACTTTGGGGGATTTACAAACAGAATGGAGAGTGAATAAACAAAACAAAAATGTCACATTCACATTGTGTCAATGATTAACATGTAAATTTAACCCATTGAAATGTGCTTAACTTGGTGGTGGTTTTACCTGGGAAAATGCGATATATAGGAGAAGCATAGGAACCCCAATTTCTACACATTTGCCCACCTGATACATTACAAGATTCAGAAAAGCAAGCAATAATTAATTACATTGGGGAGAGGGGGAAATTTAAAAGTCCAAACATAGAAATTAGTTTAACAATGTTACAATACCAAGGGAAAGCCTCTATCAAATAGTCCAAATCCCACAAGTGAAATCACTGGAACCATTCCGAGTGGGCTGAAAAACCTGAAACGCCAAACAAACTAATTTCGTTCACCTACATACTGAAGAAATTTTCAGTGATATATTGCCACTTTAAAATCTATATGCAGTTTGAGTAAACTAATGCATGATACACCCAATCCAGCAGCGAACAACAAAAATGCAGTAAACATGGTAGAGAAATGCTAATGCATGTTAGAGAATAAAACCTATTCAAGAACCTCACTTAATAGCTTAAGTTTATAGGTTCAATGGTTCTTTGAGATGGTATCAGAGCCACTTTGTCCAAGTGGTCTAGTATTTGATTCTCATCACCCCTATTATAATTAATCAAGTTTCAGCATAAGATATGGGTGAGCCTGTGCTATCCACGCTTCAAGCCCAATGGTCTTTCGTATGAGGGGGCATGTTAGAGAATAAAACCTATTCAAGGATCTCAGTTAATAGTTTAAGCTTTTAGGCTCAATGGCTATTTGAGAATGCACATCATTCCACACCATTGTGTCCACATTGTCTTAAATTAAGATGGTTCTTATTAAAGTTTGCTTCAGTCTGAATGCTGAGTGTAGCACCATACATGGGCACCTTTCAAGCTTTTATGAAAATAGTGGTTCATTACTCAGATTACTGTTTCAGTTTAACAAACTCTCAAGGGAAACAGCCTCTATGACTAGTAGAAAATGAGTGAAATAAAGCATGGTTTAGTTGGATATGGAGTTCAACCTGGAGCAGATTCCCCAAAGCTGACTGTAGCCCAGTACAATTTGAATGCTTGATGCCACTATAAGAGCTCCTTGGATTGCTCTCATTGTTTGGATAAATCTCTACAAAAAAAAATAATAAATTACCACGTGTTTGGATAAATTACCACTATAAGAGCTCCATCATTCACCAACTGCAAAGCCTGCATAGACACTTATTAAGAGCTCTACTGTACAGCAAAACTGATTCATGGGACACTGTTAACCGATTTGTCCTACCCATCCTGCCATATGGGGTGAAAGGAGCATCATCTTATACGTTCCTTGGCATATTATACAATATCTCGCTGATCTCAATACGGGTAAGAACCGCCAAACTCGTCCGAGTCAGCCAGGTCCACACAGTACAGTCAAAAGTTTGGCCTGACAGCTTGTTTGTTTGCTGCTTGTTTGAGTCAGAATTCTCTGCTTCCCCACCTCTTCTTTTCTCATTTATTTTTTATTTAAATAAAAAAAAAAAAGTAGTGTGGACGGAAACTTGTTAAAGCCTTTTTAAAGGAAGCCAAAACCACTTCAATCTTTTTATCTTTATGCATGTAATACGTAAATACACTAACGTAAACTGGTCCATTATGCGCACGTTAGCAAATGGAGTACAGCTTCAGTCCTTTATCATTATCAAATGAAAGGAAAGTAAGAAACAAAAGTAGGAGAAAAAGTAGAACTGAGAGACAGGGGGAGAGAGAGACAGAGATGGGAAATTCATGGGGCTCACTAACCTCGTGAGGGTCGGGGATTTGAGAAAAGGACGAATCATGGATGATGGAGATGATTGGAACGAGGAAGGCATGAGAACCTCCGATAACAGTAGGCAACCGTGTTCCAAATAGCGTCTGGAGCAGTGTATTAATGCCCCCAACAAATAACAGAGTCTGAACCACCCTCACCTTATCGTCCTGATGATCCACCCATCCATTATCAGAACATGAAACTACAAAACAATGAAAGTAAAACAATTCTACCTTGAAAATTCAATAAATACACAATCCCATTAAGAGAATTCATAGAAAGGAATGCTGATTTTGGTTCCTTTGATCTTTATCTTGAAAAGAAGTGCACAAAGAAAAAAAAAGAGATTTCACTTTGCTTGTAAATCCTATAGAATTGCAGAAAGAAATACTGATGTAGTTAAAAAAAAAGAAGGGGATTTGTAAATGTGCTCACGTCTGTTCCTCCGATATAATTTACAAGCATAGTTGGAATCATAACTGCAGTTCCTAGAGCCAGGATGTAGTGCTGAAAACCCAGAGCAATTGCCTCCCCTGTTGCAGACACACATTGTAGCACTTAGAAGTAGAACTAAGAATAATAAAAGAGAAACTGAGAAACAAAGAATCAATCAGTAATGGAGGGTGGAAGTAGAGAAAAGAGGATTACCCCAAGAAGGATTGGAGTCAATACAGTACTCGAATCCTTGGAGCTGATCCATCGGTGGGTGGCTTATTTCTTCTGGTTTTGGGGCCTCCATGGATGATAAGCTTTACTAACAGGGCTTCTTGTTCCTCTTCCAGCAAACCAAAATGGGTATCTCTGAAAACTCAGAGAGAGAGAGAGGGAGAGGGAGAGAGATTCACTTGGATGAATATGGATGGAATTTAGATGAATCAAACAAAAGAAATGAGGGATATTGAGTATTTGGATGAATCAATCAATCAGAAAGAGAGAAGGTATATGGAAATAAAGTTGAAGAATTATTGATACTAAAAGGACAGAAAAGCAGGATAGCAAGAAAGAAAGTGAGAAAACAGGACTGTGAATGAGTAAGAAAGAGAATCAGAGAAAGCAAAAGGTAAGCAAAAAAGGAAAAAAGGAGGAGAAATGAGTCACGGCTAGCATTACTCATGGGGGGAAAGAAATGCATTGGCTACCCACTCACCTCATGAGTTTCCTTCCATTTTTAGACTTTTCTTTAATCCTCTGATTTCAAGTATTACCGTTTAACTTGTATTTCCCAAATTACCCCTAAAGGAATTTTCAAAGCAAAAGTTACCGTTACTGCTGCTTCTACACTGCAAAAAACGATTTGGATACAATTCAACCATTCACATCAGTCACCGCACCACCATTAATGCTCCAGGCTTTGAGACTCGTATTATTATTCACAATAAGTGAAGGTTCATTCTTTCTTCATATTTTCATTTCTTTTGCACTGTGAAGATAAAAAGTTTAACCTTTTTATTCCTATTGAAAAGCAACGGATGACCCTTTCTGGGGTTCCTCGTCAGTTTCTTGTGTGCCTGATTGCTTCATGCATGGGAGTTATATTCGACATCTGTCCTCTCTACAGGGTATTATTCCCTACTTGACAGCTTAATTTATATGAATTCCATACATCAATAACACTGTTAAAAGGTATGGTTGGTTGCAGCGAGGGCTATAATGGGTTGGATTGGGATTCGGATTTAACCATATCCGTATCCAAATTTGAAACTTGAAATCCAATATATGGGATGATCACACATTCAGATCAGCTTTATTGTGTTTAAAATGAATATAAATTTATATAATATAAAAGGTTCCTGAAAGACACGGTACCAATCAAAGCGATTTTGTGAATTTTGATTAATACCACCTGTTTGGTCACCACTTTTATAATTCCAATTGATTGGTGGGAAATTTTTCCGGTATCTCGAATTCAATATAAAATATTAAATTTATAGATAATAAACTTTATATAATTGTTTGTGGTATAAGCCTTATCCCAATTATATATGTGTAATATCCATATATATTGCATCAAGTTTTGGACCTTAACCCATTGACAGTTTTATCTGTATGCAAAAATATGGACATCCAGCTGCATATTGGGAATATATCTTTCATGAATTTGACAGCACTTAAATTTATCATAACTTTTCAAAACTTCCAAGGAGGGCATGTCAGTAACTTGATGTTAAAGAGACTACAGAAACTAGTAAATTACTATTTTACCCTTTGTTATATTCGACCTATTTTTCGATATGTCAGAACTACCCCTGTTATTATTCAACCCAAAACCTATTTTTCAGCATCCTTGGAATACTTTAAAGCAGCACAATGAGAGCAAAACATCTCTCAACCAGTAGAAATCTTATATATAAGGTAGTTGGGCATTTTAGTCATAAAATATATTTAATAAGGCTGATTCGCCATTCAGGGGCAGTTTGGTCATGAAAATTGCATTTATGTTGATGTGGACAATTTCTGCTAATATACACTGATGATGCTCTATAGATGGCGAGTTTTGGAAAACAAAACTTATTGACATGGGATCCCTTGGATGTTTTAAAAAATCATGGTGAGTTTAAGAGAAATGCTGAAAAATCATTGAGTTTTAAACAATTTCCCAATGTTCTAAGGTAGGCCCTGCATGGAAAGCCATGAAGTCAAGTGTGGTAAAAAATCTGGAAAGTTAATAACATACATGTATAAACTGCAAAAACCAAGTTTCTGGTGAAACTATTTTTAATAGCATTTCCTAAGCAGTTCAATCAATGCTGAAGCCCTCCCAAACAGGCCCTAACATGTTAAGTGGAGAGAGACAGTGAGCTGTTGAACATTTGACATCCAAAGTTTTGCGGGGGAAGGGGATTAATTTGGACACATCTCTTGTTTTTTGATAAAGCAGATACAAAAGTACAAAACCCTTGTTTAATTTCTATCAATGAATGGGGATGTGCCCACTGCCCAGATCATTAGAATTCACATCTGCGCTCCATAGAGAGCTCTCCACAAATGCCCCACAGCATATCCTAACAAACATCTTCCATTGACAGCTTTAGGAGATGTTCCCAATGAGATTATATCTCCGCCCGACAATGCCTCATAGCACATCCTCGCCGTGTATTAGGAATATTTTCCAATGATGACATCATCAGAACTGGTATTATCATTGGGAGATGTTTCCAATACATAACGGGAATGTGCTGTGGGGCGGCTCCTTGTAAGGTAGAGATATGAATTCGTTCTCAATGCATGCTGAGATGTGCATGTGGGGCGTTTGTAGGGCCCACATGGACTGGTTCGAATTGATCAAGTGAGCTTGTTCACTTTATTGAAACCTTGGGTTACTTGGCTGGGCGGATAACGGATTGATGAACTCGCCAGTCGCCATCCACAGTATGGAGCTGATAAATTATGAAAAGAAGTCTGCTTAAACCGTCCACAGTATCGGGTTGATGAATTTGATTGGAGCTGCCAATTCAGGTTGGGGCTGATTTGTTAGACTTGTCTTTGTATCCTTGGGCTTTTTAGATGATATTTTGGGGACGTTCTATCCTCGTCTTTGTGTAGCTGTAGCCCTATTTAATTTGTTCAGGTTAACTAAAAAACAAAACAAAGAAGTGTGGCCATAGAAATACTAGGTTCTATTTGGTTTATTAGAATAGGGGTCTGGAATGGAATTGAAATGGGCCATTCTAATTTCAACGGTTTGGTTGAGTGAAATAGAATTCTATTTTCATTTCTGGTGAGTGTCATTCCGCCATTTGAGGGAAGAAATGGGATTCAGTCAGTGCAAAGCCTGTTCAAACAACCATCATAGCCTTGCATTGGGAATATCTCCCCATGAAATAAAGCATATAAGTACGGAGATGTTCCCGATGCAAGGCTGTAAAAGCTGTTCGAACAGTGTTCCAACAGGCCTTGCACTGACTGAAGCCGATCTCTTGAGGGAATGATCATTCCTAAAATCCTACTCCAACTGATTCTAATTATCAATCTGATTCTTGTCTGAACCAAACAGACTATGAGAATAGATTATTTCAATTCTGATTCTAAAGGATGTCAATTTCAATTCCAATTTTGATACCGACTGCAAATCAAACAGACCCTTACATGTTACAATCAGGTAAGACTGTAACCTTTCCGTTTCTTTCCCGTAGTGGCCAAAATTCTGAGCCCAGCCCACAAATTCTCAAATTTGGGCCTAGGCCTTTATGTTCAGGCTTGCTCTGTACCCATCATATTCATATGCCCCAAAAATCCAAATATGAGATGTCGAGACAAGTCACCTTTAGGCTGAGATTTCAGAGGCCTGGGGTGCGGGCAAGGCTGATTTGATTGACTGACACCAATCATGTGTCTAGTGTGTAGGGTTGTAACCAGATTTGATCCAGTTACATCCGCATCAAACCTTAGAGTTGAATCCAATTCGAATCTGACATATCTGATTTTAGATTGGGTTCAAATTTAATTCTCATCCATCTTATTTTGTTTAAAATGATCAAAAAATTTAAAAAATTTTAAAAAATTAATTGTTTTACTTAACGTGTATAGTAAATGTATATAAATTTAAAAATTAAATTTATCAATTATAAATCACACACACATGCACACTAACACTTGATTGGCTACCACATTCATAATTCCAATTGATTGGTCAGGAGTTTTTCATATCTTTCCAATATCATAGTCAAACCCTATAGATAGATAGATAACCAAGTTTGGTTATTTGACAATCAGTTATGTTTCTAAAATAATGACAAAAATAGTGAACGGGAGAAGAAAATCATTTTTTTACCAAATTACCCCTTTAAATGTGAGATAGCTGAAGTTACTGTTTATTGTCTTCCTCCTCCAAACACTCCAACACAGAATTCAGCGGGGTAAGTCTTCCTCCGATCTCTTCTCCTAGTCCCCCTTCTCTCTCTCTCTCTCTCTCTCTATCTATCTATCTATCTATCTATCTATCTATATATATGTGTGTGTGTATTCTACAAAAAAAAGTGGGGAAAGTTGCAGAAGCAATGAGATAGGGAGATAATCTTGAATCGGTTGTGACTTGTGAGCTCTCCTCTGGCTTTCTATCCCAAGTCATGAAATACATAAGTTTGCACTTGCTTGGGTATTAACACCATTTGATAATTGATTTCCAAAGTTCTAATCAAATACAATTGTTTGCAAGCTGACCTGCTGAACCAGCTTCTAGTAAATGGTCTGATGATGATGCCGAGAAGAAGAATGAGAAGGAGAAGAAAGAAAAAGAAAGAGAAAGAGGAGGGAAGAGAAAATAAAGGAAAGGAAAGAGAAAATGTGAGAAAGAGAAAGAGAGAGATCAGATTGGAGAGAAGATGGCCGTTGCCACGCTTGGTTTAGTGTCGAAAGGTAGAAGAAGGTGAATAGTATTTGGACGATTCTTTGACTCGATAGAAGAGAGAGATGCCAAAAATTTAAAGAACGAAAAGGGGGAAAAGTCCTATGATGAATCTTTTAGTTGAGGGCAATTTTGTCTTAAAAAATTAAAAATCTTTTCCGCTCACTGTTTTTGTCATTAAAAACATAACTGATTTTGTTAAATGACCAAATTTGGTCATTTATTTTGTAAAAAAAAATCTATATATAAAAGTATAGATAGATAAATAAATAGACAGATAGATAGATAGATAATTTTTTATCTGATTCAGCTTTTAAATAGATCTGATGGAATTAAATCCACATCCAATCCAATTATTACTTGGATGCAATTTTTAACATTCAAATATGGGATAATCAGATCCAGAATTGAATTGGGCATCAAACATTCAGAATCCATTGACAGCTGTTAGGCCGATTTGCTTTTTCCTCTATTTTTTAATTTCAGAAATTTAAATATTTTTATTATTTTATTATTTTAAAAAGTATACTATTTACTTTATACTTTTTTTAAACGTACATTATTTGCTTTATTGATAACATATCCGAAAATAAGCAGATGGAATCTGGATTTTGAGCAAAAGTTGCGAAAATTTGACCAAAAGTTATTCCAGTACCATGTATTTCCGATATCATAGATTTTCCCAAAGTTAGAATACAGAAATTTGTCGGTGTTTTTCTCGGTTCCCCAATTCACAACATATCCTATTCAACAATCAGGGCCACCATCTACTGGGTTATATTTGTTGTGCCAAGTT